TATCTCTTGAAATTGTATTAGAAAATTATATTGAAATGAGAAATGAGAATTTTGATCAAAATGGTAATATTTATAAGTAGGAATTTCTACACTCTAATATGGTTTTTAGCTTTTAGTTATTTGCTTATTGTGTATAGATGATGAGATTTGGTTGTGATTTGGACAAATCTAGGAATTTGGGTATGAAATGAAAATCGGGTTTTGATGAATATGGGTAAATGAGTATGAGGATGGGATATCATGATCATATTGTGCCAAATAATAGTTGATTTTGGTGTTTGGTTGATATTGGTGAAAGGGGGATTTTGCCCTAATTTGATTAAATTATTATTTTGTATAAATAATTGGGATTAACATTGAAATGTGAAATTGGAAGGTTTGTGATTATAAATGGTGATTTTGTATATGTATTATCTCACCTATGTAAGTTTTGAATAAAATATTTGCTTTGAGATTTGAACATCTCTTTAGAAATTATTGTATTGGGCTATCGATGGAGGATAGCCATAATTGTTTAGAAATTGCATGAGGATTAGGCTTTTAATGCTAATCTATGTTGGTGTCATTGAACAATGACCATGTTTATAAATACATTGTATTGCATGTTATTGGGAGAAGATAAGGGATGTACTCCATATGTGATTATACTTATAAATACATTGTATAATATATGTTTATTGGAGAAGATAGTTGATGTACTTCATATATGATTATGCTTATAAATACATTGCATATGTTTATTGTTTTGGGAGGAGAAAGGGGATAGACTCCATCGTAAAGCAAGCTGGTCGGAGTGTCTTGGTGAAAGACCTGAAATCAATATATATATCATGGGTGCTGAATCCCGCGGAGAATTTTCGGTAAAATAGCAGATTTGAACGTGCTTATGTGTGTTTGCATATTTGGGAACCATTGAGTTGTAGTCTCATTTTTGGTTGTTGAAAGATAATGAATTTAACTCATGAATTGAGTAGCATATATGAATTGGAAATGAATTGATGGAAAATGGAATAAGATTGGTCTTAGTGGCAATATGAATATGCGAGACTTATATTTAAGAGATTATGTAATAAAATCATATG